AACAGGAGTTCAAAAGTGGTCCTTGTTGTTGCGTGTGTTTTTCGGGAGATGCATCAAAAAAATGCATTAAAATAGAATACATGACAACACTTGCCATTGCAGGCAGCACAGCTCCGCAAGCTGGCCACCTACAAAAGCCATCGAAAAACAAAGGCAAAAGCCACCAAAACCCAAGAGCCACCGAAAGCGAGCCTTCCTTCCTGCCCTCCTGCCTTTCTTCCTTCCATCCTTCCTTCCTTCCTTGCTTCCTTGTTTCCTTCCTGGCTTCCTTCCTTCCTTCCTTCCTTCCTTCCTTCGTACCTTCCTTCCTTCCTTCCTTCCTTCCTTTGTTTCTTTTCTTTATGTCTTTATTGATGCATTTTTATGTTTTCTTGATGCATTTATATTTTTTATTGATGCATTTATTTTTTTTTGATGCGTCTCCCCCCTTAAAGCCTTACTCAATTAAGTAGGCGCCTACTTAAATAAGTAGGGGCGAAAAACAAGAACATGCAACGGACATGAAAACTTAAGTCTTAGGCTCACCGCTTGGCTCCACTGGCACTTGGGAAGCACGTTGCGCCTGCAGAGCTTCGGTCGTTTCATACTTGGAAACGAACCAGGCACGAACATGCGCAGCACATATCATATCATGCATTAGAATAATCGATGTTTTTGTTTTTGTGCTCCATGATTTGCTCAGGTGTTCTGATCAATATTTGCAGGAGAGCTTCGCGAGAGAAAAGGCGAGGATCAAAAAAGCGAAGTCCTTTCCTGCTCCCCGCTTCACTTCGTCGCCCTGGACTTCCCGTCTGTTTGAGACAGGTTCCGCCTCGGAACTGAAGCGGTCTTCACATCTCACGAGCTCCATCTTCACGAACTAAAATGTTCATGTTTAAAGGCGCCTTGCAGTCAAACGGTAGTGTCTTTTTCTCCTTTCCCGCCGCACGCGGGCCCTGCCGCAGAGTTGCTGTCTTGATAAAACATCAATGTGGCTACTCCTGCCTTTTTGACCTCCTGCCCTCCATCATTGCTCACCTGGCAGGGAGATCAAGGATAGGAACATTCTGATTCCGATTTCGTTTCCGATTTCGAAGTGTTGCATACGCAGCATGTGAGCGAATAGCGCCAAGACACACGTGACTACCCAAAAAGGAATTGATTCTACTGAGCAAATGTAAAGCCGGAAATCGCCCCTACATGACTGGCGACTCTGGGCCTGCTTTGTCTGTCCGGCCCATACCTCAAAGAAGTCAAATCTCACGGCGTGACGGAGTGTGACGGAGTGACTGCTGTTTATACAATCAGGCAGTTGTTGGGGTTAGGAGCTGGCAAAGTCGTATGCTTCTTCCATGGTGATATGGTGCATTTGAAAAATCCAATCTTCCAGCCAACAACCATCAAGGTACATGGTATGGCGCATAGGTTTTCTTCAAACTGGAGATGTGATTGTACCTCAGCGATGCCGCGTGTGAAGCAACAGCTGGATCGAATTGTTAGATCCACCATGAAAGGTCCTAAAATTGAGATCCACACCATCTGTGCAAGTGCGGATACTGGAGCACAAACAGCCAAGGCAAATTAACCATTAAAACAAATCGTATCTACCGTTTGAGCCATATTTGTTGATTGCCAAATAATATGTCTGCAATGTTTAACTGGTTTGTCCACATGCTGGCCTGCTGTCTATCGGGTCGGGCATGTACTGCTGCAAAGCAGGTCATATCCTGCACTGGACTGAGGCGATTGAAGATAGAAGAACATGCAAGGTGACGAGAGCGCAAGCAGATGCGGTGACTTAACAAGATTGCCTGGTCTTGATGACGCAGTTCTTTTGCTATCTTGGATTCGCGTCTTGGAACTGCTCAGTTCCAAGCTGCGGCTCCCAGGCACCAAAAGTTCATGCATATGTGTTTATTCTTCGAGATGTGAACATTGAAGACAATGTTGCGCAGTCCATGACAATGTTGTGAAACCGGTGATACTGTCCTGTAACTGACAACCCCTTCAACCCCAAATCATACACCCTTCTTTCGATGACAATGATTTGGTGATCACAATATTGTGAAACCTGACTGCAATGTTGTGAAACCGATGAACACGTTCTGTAAACGATGACAATGTTGTGATGCCCATGTCATGAAATTGTCTTGCGGGCAAATCCCCCCCGCTGACCCAACAAGAAGGGAAAGCTTTCGGTAAGCCAAACAGGCTTCAAAAGCGGATACGCCAAATCAGGAAACGAGTTCCTTTGTTGGTTCCACAGTTTTTACACAAGCTAGCTCCAGTGGCGTGAGCTGGCTAACTGTTTAACTGGTGCTAGGTCGTGGGGCTGAGGTGAGTGAGCGCGCTAGTGAAAGACTGTCAGCAAGTGCTGCTTGGCTAGTGAAGGTTCTAAAGAGTGGAGGGTAGAGTGGCAAGTCATCGCAAGTTAACTAAGCTAAAGCAAAGCGCTGTAAGCCATTCCGGCGAGTTACCTGGATGAAGTAGGAATCATCCGCACGTAGAAGTGATATGTGGGGCTCCGTAGTGACTGCGGGCGATCTATGATCATCTATGGTGCTTTGCGCCGGCTTCAGAATCTTTACTGATGTGACACGATTTGCACTCCCAAAGCGCACAACAAGCCCACAGAATATTCCTACCACGGGAGTGCACCTGTCATAATTGTTCTCTTCTGCCAACCATCAGATGGATCGTGGTGCATTGCTTGCAGGTGGCACTTCGGCTGATGTTCGACCCACAATTTGCAAGGGGGTTGAGGCCCCAGGCTTTGGGATTTCTTTGTCCAGTGCATCCATAAGTTGTTCCTTTCTTCCATGCACGCGTTTTGCAGTTTGTTTGTCTGCACCAATGTCCCAAAAAAGTGGAGGATAAGGACACAGATCATGCATCAAAGGAGCACAGGTCTTCCAACTTTGCTTTGAGAGCAGTCACGCATACTTGTTCCAAGGAACACATTCTAAGAGCTGCTGAGACTCATCCAACAAGTTCGGATTCGGATATGTATTTGTTCTTTACTTTTTTATTTATATGTTTATTTATTGATGTCTGTATAGTTTTTCTTTTTTTGTTTCTTGTTCTTTTATTTTCTTGTCTTGTCTTGTCATGTCTTTTCTGTTCTTTCTTTCTTTTCTTGTCTTGTCTTGTCTTTTATTGTCTTTTCTTATCTGTTCTTCTCTTTTTTCGTGTCTGTCTTTCGTTCGTTCGTTCTTTCTCATTGTCTGTCTTTCTGTCTGTCTGTCTGTCTGTCTGTCTTTCTTTCCTTCCTTCTTTCTTTCCTTCTTTCTTTCTTTCTCTCCCTCTCTCTCTTCCTCCAGACTTCCTTGGAAAGGGTCGTTACTGCAGGAGCTTTGCCACAATGTGGAATACGGTATCCCAGAGTCTCCTCAGCTGTAGCGTGGAACGTGCCACCCACATAGGACCTTCAAAGGAGCAAGATCAAGTTGCTTCGAAGCACTGCACATCAGGCAGCTTTAGACGTCACTTACTCAGCTTGTCTATTCAAACCTGTCTTGTCGTCTTGTCGCCACCTGAGCCCTGAACTGACTCGCTAGCAAAGTATTGAGCTCCTCAAGGCCACGCTCCGTGCGGAGGCTGGTCAGCACAGCCTGGAGCGGCTCCTTTTTTATTCCTTTTTTCTGGTTGTTTCCTTGTTTTGCTCGGGTGGGTGGGCCATAGTGCAAGCTTAAGTAGCAAACAAGTACGGGTAAGCTACTAAGTTTAAGAGCTTCTTTTGCTTGCTCTGGTATTTGCTTAATATATTGTTTGGAAATATACCGAGGAGATTAGAGGAAAAGAATGGCAAACACGCTTGGGAAGAGCGAGTCTTCTAGCACACCAAGCTGGTGCCGGCAAATGTTGAACCAGAGGCTCAAGCTGCCGTTATGTGAAGTGACAGTGCGAACCTAAAATGTGTGAAATCTTGGTCCGTAGCCATCTGTGTAGAGAGTACAAAGGGAATAAACTAAACAAACCGGCCATCGTGTCATTTCGTCCGGACCTGCCTTCGGTGGCATAGCGGCCAGAGCGGCTAATCCTGCCATGAAGGGCTTGGCACAAATGAGGTCAAAAGAGAAATGAGGAACGTGTGAAACAATATGTTTCTAAAAAGGACATAAGAAGAAAAATAGAGAAAAACGCTCACAATTCAGATTTCTTGAAGGAAGCTCCCCCCGCCTGAGGGCTGGGAGGAACTTCCTTGAAGAACTCCTCGCGCGATTGATTTGATTCCCTCAAGCTTAACTTTCCTTTCTTCCCATGAGCCTGGCCGCTGTTGGAGCAAATGCTCCAGCCGAGGCACCAAAAAGCCTTGGACCAAGTCGCAGGGCACGATGCAAAAAGTCCGCCAAACTCAATTTTTGCAAAATCAGTTTTATTCATTTTCTGCGTCTCAAAGCTGATCGCCAACAGCCACTTGTCGTCACTACTCGATCATTTCGCACATCTCCATGACTGACCAAAACTGGGTATTTCATTGCTGGGCAACCAGCCGGCACAAAACACCACCGCTTTGGACTGAATGAAGTCAAAATGTCAGAGCCCCAAAAAGCGCGACAACAGTTTACCACATGCAACGCATGCCTTGTTGTGTCCGTGAGTTTGGTGACCTGCTGCTTACCAATCCAGGCACGGTGGCACGCTTGCATTGTTCATTGACATTTGCCAAAGCAAGAACACGGGCCACGCATCGCTATTTTGTCTGACCGACGCTGGATTCGGCTGCTCGTCTTCTGCGCATCCGGCCTTGCAGAAAAAAGGACTTTGCACGTTACATGCTGTCACAGAGCAAGCAGTCTTGAGGGCCAGTGGTGCAGCAAATCAAACAAAATATAGTTCACATCTGCTGCGACTTAAACATGTCTACCCCGTCGCACTTGCACCTGAGTTTGGCAGTTCCCCAACACTTTTGCAATCATGGGTGGTGTGCAGCGGGTTTTTGACATTGGTCGACTCAAGTGCTGTCAAAAGCAAGACTTCAGAAAAATGCGGTGCACAAAGGTACGACATCTCTATTAAACCAAATTTTGCCCAAGAGCTCACCCCCAAAAGCTAATCCCAGTTGTCTTCAAGCATGTTGGGCAATTGATCCAAGACACTTTTCGGCGATTGCGTTTCCTGGAGGCAAGCCGAGATCTCGCTCTTTCACAACTGAATGTAGTTGGAGGAAGTGGAGGGAGCAGCCGGCGCTCTTCCAATCTCCTCCGCTCTTTCTTCCGTGCTGCCGCGCCATCTTTGGCGGCCTCGGCAATGGTTGGAAACGGCATAATGGTTTGATATATGAAACAAACGCATACATGTTCATACACGCACTAGGTGAAACTTGTGCTTCGTTACAGTTTGTTCTGTGTTCCTCGCAGCCCGAAAGGTTTGCAGTCCGCCCCGGTCAAGTCACCTTGCTCCTGGTACCTCTTCCAAGAGTCTCTGACTGGCTGAGCGCGAAGTGGTCAGCGAAGGGTGAGTTGCGACAAAAAGCGCAATCCACTATCTAGGCAACAACACGCAGTAGAAACTGCGTTCCAGCGACCCATAGCAAGCAGAGCGTCCAGCGAGGTTCTATTTCCATTGGCTTGGCTGTTATGGCACAACGAAAAAAGTGTATAGCACGTCACTATACAGCTTCAATGTAGTAGCAATATGGTGCCACAAGGTCATAGACTCATTGCCCCAAAGAAAACGAAGCGACGCCAGCGCCGCAGACTCAAAGGAAGAAACTGTTTCTTTGCACCACCCTTGGAAGACGGGATGAGTAGAACAGCACGATCATACCCAAGAACAACATCCTCTCTTTTCGACCTCCTCAGCTCGATGAAGAGCTGCAAGCGCAACGATGATGAGGCGCACGGCAAGCGAAACCCTGGTAGCCCTGGTAGGCATAGGCGCGGCGCGCAAAGGGATTTCAACCTGATACTAAGCTCACGCTTCCAGGCGAGTCCTTCAGATTGGGGGCGGAACAATTGGCTACGCTCCCTGGCTCACAGCTCTCCCATTGATGTTCAACAAGTTCACCAACCACGCCATCGAAGTCCTCAAATGACCTCGCTGTAAAAAGGTCTCTATCGGCCTACGCCCTTCAGGCATGTCTCAGCAGGATTCTCCCCAGCCCAAACTGGGAACACTGCCGGCTGCCAAGTGGAGCGTAATATTTTTCCAGGAGGTGGTTCAGGATGCGGGGCTTGAACTTCAGCCTTTCACTGATAGAGCGACCATCACGTGAACCAGCGCTGAAGCGTCGCCCATGACACTGATGTGCTCGGGTAGCAGACAGGCATAGCCTTGGCCCACTTCCAGCGCTTTGCGCATCAGGTTGGGTCCAAATTCTTGCCCCCTCACAAAGGCTGCCACTAGCCTTGAGTTCAATGTGAGTGGGACCAGGATCACACTTGATCAAGGCCCACGCCGCCCCAGGCGAGGACGTGGCTTCAAAGCCCGTTGAGCAAGAGAGGCCCATCAATGGTCCCCCTTGTCGTGGCCATCCGCTTCTTTTGGCGTGTCTTGTGTGGTGCCATGAGCCTCGGGGACTTCAATCGCTGGCGCTCACCATGCTTGCCACCCCCTCCTGAACTCCCCGACCAGGTCCTGAAAGAACAGAAGGGGACTGCTTTGACCCAACTGAGCCGAGAACTATGTCAGTTTAACCCTCATGCATAGACCTGCTAAGGAGACGACATATACACGCACGGCCTATACAAATACGAACAACTACAGTATCGGTTCAATCATGGCCGCAATGCAGCTCAAGTTAGTCGGATTGGCTATCCTTACAAAGCGGCTAGCTCCATTTTGACTGCGACACTGCGAGTTGTCAAATTCAACTTGCATGTATTTGAATGTCCACTCATCATCTTGTGTCACATAGTTGCGTATCAGCTGCACCTGCGATGCAGATGCCTTCGCCAGCAGCAACTTCAGTGCGTCTCCTGTGCTTAGTTTCAGACTCTAAAAGCCTCCTAAAGCCACAATCCAACCCAGTGGCAATGTTTTTGCGTTGCATCTGTCAATTCTGTGTGTGGCTCTGTTGGCCAGCAAAGCTTTGTAAGAGCGTTCCATTCTACACAAGCTGGGACTCAGCGCAATGGCAAACTCCGACAAAAAGTGTCCACAAGATGCGACTTGTAACTACTAGTAGCAGGTGCATCGCTACTAGTAACAAGTGCATCGCTAGTAGTAACAGGTGCCTTACTAGTAGTAACTGACAAAGCTGCTTGCAGTTTGCTCGTTGTCGGAGGCAGCATGGAGATAAGCTCATAAACAGCTTTGGGGGAGGACACCCCGATTCCTCTCGCACTCAAAGCCCCACAGCTTGGAGCTGAGGCTCAAAGTTCTCAACACTATAGAAAGAGCTTTGACGATGGCCTCCAAAATTGGAGCCCCTTAGAAAGTGAGTCACCAAGAACTGATGTGCATCACATCAACAAGGGTAGAATGTTCATCCACCATGAGTGTACGCATTCATCTCTTTAGCGGATTTAGATTGTATATTCACACCGTTTCTCTCCAATTGAGGTCGCAGCACTGGGATCTGCAGAGGCCATGAGGTGGGGGCAGTCACGACTCCAGGCCACGCCTTGGGTCAACATTAACTATAGTAGCTACAAGGTAGGCTTAGGCGCTACTAGATTCAGTGACGCAGAAAAGTTCAGACTTCATGATTGATTTGGTTCCTGGAACTTCGGAAGCCTTGGCAGTCTTGGCAGACTGATAGAACTGCCACAAAATGTCCCCAAAAAATGTCTCAGAAGGTGAGGAGAAGCAAATGTCCACTTGTCAAAGATGCACCCGAGCACAAAGCCGCTGGGCAAACTTCCTGAGTGTCCACCGTGGACCTGAGGTATTCAAGGCCTCTTGAGCTCAATCGGACAAGTCTAGTGGACTATATCGAAGAGTAGGCTATTCAACCTTGGTGATTTTTTGCTGATTGCTTTCATGTTTGACTCTTCCTGATTTCCTGACCGAAGCCCCAGCATACCCAAGTTTTATCTTCAGGGCATCCAGCCTTGATGCCGACATCAGTTGTCTTGGAACCCGGCAAAGACCACTCCGGGAGGTTCTGCTGAGATCTGCGACTGCCCAAACCCAAACAGAAAAGGTTCAAACTCCACAAAAAGGGAAAAGAAAAAACATCAAAATACATATTTACTCCAATTAATTTTTTTGCAAATTCCAAAAATGAAGAGAATTGATTCGAAAGGTTGACATGAGAATTGGCTGCAATGAGATCGTTAGTTGCAGAAGTTTGTCTTGGACCAAAACTCGAATCCTTTGACTTAAAAATAACATAAGTTTATAATGTCAAAGCAATTCACAGAAGGCGGGGAAACTACTGTCGAAAACTTTCCTTGGATGCTGGGTTCTCGACATTGCCGGAACCTTTTTGGCAGAACCGTTTTACGTTGTTTTGAACCTTTATCCGCAATTCCACCCGGCCCACAAGCTTCAGAATCTAAGGAGGCCGTAATACTTAATACGAATACAAATCCTTCTTCTTGGACTTTTTGGACCTCCCATATAGCTGGCAGCTCGGTGCAGCAAACGACCCCAAAACGTAAATTGGCAGACACCAAAGCATACTATATAGATTTTGTTCGCGAGCAGCACATTGAATGTGGACTCTAAAAGTTCAACTGGCTTAGCCAGAATGCATACAGATACAGCGCACTACAAAGCACTCCAAGCGGAGAACCCCCGCCTGTGAGTGAAGTCTCTGATTTCTTTCCACATCCCAAAGCCTTGGAAAACTGCGAACATGCTGCACGGTTCCTGTTGCAAATCCTTGAAAGAACAAATTAGCATCGCCACAGAGGTTGCTCCAATAGTTTTATCGCCGACTCTCTGCGGTCTAAGCCCGGCACAGTTGGCGGGGCTGTAGTCACTAAGCAAAGCTCGTGAGAGAGGTCGAACTAAAAGGGCCGGGCCACGTCACAAGCCCGACGAAGAGGTCGTGAGTGCGTCCAAGAGCGGACCAACCCAGCGACAAGATCCACCGTCACAGGGGAAATGGAAATGAACAAACCACCAACAGGGAAAAAGATACCCAAATCAGACCTATCTTTCCCCTCAAACAGCAAATCCTCAAAGCCGAAACTTCTACAAAAAATCCTCAGGGTATTCCGGACTGTACGGAGAACACCAGTCATGAGGGGACGTGTAAAATGAGAATGCACCGGAATCAGCTCGAAAACATTGCGAGAGCTCACATAATGTGGGAGAGGCAGGTCCAGCTCCCTGACCAACAAAAACACCAACTCAACCCAACTCATGGCGTATAAGCCAAAATCACGATCACCACAACCAACCAGCCTAGTGATGATCTCCCGCAAAAAAAGCTGGCTCCCAGGTGATGGAATCTCAGGCAAGGAGTCCGTCCAAAAAGGGGGCAAACGGTCTATACAAGAAACTAAAAAAGAATCCCTCTCAGGCTCACTGGCGTGCACTGGCTCCAACGGCGCAGCATGAGATCCAGCGGCGCTAGCTCCAGTTGATGTAGCTTCATGCACAGCGCAAAAGAACTTGAACAGAGGCTGCGACCGAGAAAGCGTGCTATCATGAAAGGCAGCTGCCTTACGCTGGAGATCGGCAAGGTGCCTTGGCAAGGCACGGTTCACTATGCCGGCCTGAAGGTCCACGGCATTGTTCCATTTCCGAGCCCAATCATGAAAACAGTCCGAGCAGCTCAATTGTGACATATGTGAAGGCCACCAGCGAAAAGTGGGAGGAATGTCCTGCAAATCCGTCAACAAATCGCAGATTTGCTGCCACAAGTCCCTGTTGGCCCAGTGAGAGGGAACGGTCAAGTGCTCCAGAAGATACCATGCGTTCTCAACGGTGTGCTTGGAGTCGATCCACAGGAAGGCAGTGACCCGTACCCGGGAAAGCCAGGTCAAAGCTGACAGCACGGCTGTCACCTCCGCCCGTGGGATAGACTGAGTCAAACCCGGCAGCCACCCTGCACTGAGCACCATACCTGCCGAGGCACTGGTAACACTCCACGAACAAGTGTTGTACGCACTCACAGGTCCCCGATGGCAAGAGCCATCTGTGAAGAGACGATGTGGTGAAATAGGTTCCACGGCTTCAAAGACTGCGGCGTCGTCCGGGAGTGCTGAAAGTGCCAGCCACCAAGCGCAAAGCCATGGATTACGAGGGCAGAGCAAGTGTTGTTTGACGCTAACTGGTTGCTCAGACAAATCCGTCGGCCATGTGGGTATACTAGATCGCAACTCAGCTTTCCTTGGACAATCAAACCAATGCATGACAGAGTCAGCCACGTGACACACTGGACAATGGGTCTTGGTGACATCAAATTTAGCCTTCATGTCATCGGAGATGAAGGCCCCAGAGTGGAGAGAGTTCAGTAAGCCACGCTCACCCGAATCCAAACTGGAGCTCTGTGCATACATGAGGAAGGGATCCAACGAAGCCAGATCGGACATTGACTTGCGCCGTTGAAGGCCAGGAACAAGGCTTTGTAACCAGGCATCAAGCAACAAGGTGTGGACCATCATCCAATCAGCACTGAGGATGTTGAAGGAGAGCCCAAAGCTGGTGCACAAAAAAGGCGGGCCCACGCTCCAGCCCAAAGTTTCACACAGCGCATGAATCTTTGAAAAAGGTCCCGGACAAAGGACTCCATCGAAGGCATGCTCAAAGTGGGACTATGCTGGGAGGATGTTGGCGTCCTTCCAAGCCAAATGCCGCAGCGTCAGAAAGGTGCGTGTCGCCTGAAAGAAGCCCGGATCTGCCAAGGGCTGGTGGGACAAAGTCAAACGGAGTGTCGGGTTCACCCCTGCAGTCTTTAATCGTAGCCCCTTACAAGCCTGAGTACGAAGATGTCCAAGATGGCTGTCAGCAAAAAGGCAAGCCTCGGCTCCATGAAGAGCTTGTGGCCAGAACGAGAGTGGCAGCATCGAGATCTTCTGGGCGGTTGGTGCTCGAGAAAGACGAAATTTGGCCCATTTAGCCTCCAAGGAATCAAACCGAAGTCGCAAACGGCGATTGCGCAGCATCTTGCAATAAGACATACTACCGCCGGAGTTACTACCGCCAAGATCCCTTGCAGCAAAATGACAAGCAAAACCCAAAGAGCGCAAGGCTTTGCGGTTGGAGGTAGCTAACGCCCAGGTGAAGGTCTTCTTGGGATCAGCTTCCATCATCCACATGTCCAGGAAGGCCTCATTGGCAAAGTGTGCACCGGCAACATCCTCCACGGTGGCCCCCAACAATGAAAGATTGTCAACGAAACTGAAGGCGGAAATCTTCGGACAGAAGAAGCCCATATAAATGCGCCATACATAGTTGAGTTGAACCATGCCATAGACAGACATAGCATCGCCTTCCGGCAAGCCCGCCAGTGAGGTGGTGGCCGGACTGAGATGGTCATGGACCGAGAAAGCGCGGGTGCACCGTGTGAGAAAGTCCTGCCAAAGCCGGGTCACTGAAGGAGGGGCACCGAGGTGGTCCGCTAGGAAAAAAGTGTGTTGCCTGGGAATCCGATTGAAGGCCTTGATCAAATCTGTGCTCAGACCAACCAGTTCTATAAAGCTCTGCAGGGTCCACCAAAGCTGAGTGGCTTCCTTTGAAGGCAAGAAGCCAAACATCGAGTCAGGTGCATGAGAGGATAAGAGCCTCAGAAGCTGCCTGGATCTTATGGATCCCCATGTGCGGTAGACCAGGCTAAAGATCACGATGGGACGAAAGCCGTTGGGATCATGAGCACCAGCCTCCTTGGCTAAACAAAGGACAATGCCATGTATCATTTGCTCCGGCCACCCAGTTGCTGCTCTTCAATGCGGTTCAGCCAATGAACTATAGCTTCATGCCAATGATCAGGTAGATGAAGCAGATCCTGGTGTCCGACGCCGTCCACTCCTCTGGCAGCGGTAGCCTTGTAGCGACGGAGAGCTGCTTTCCATTGGCCCACCGTAATGGGAGGCAGTG